CCCTGCCGACCGAGATGTAACCACACAATATATATTACGAGATTATAATTGATTATATATTGTTGGAATTAAATAGTGGATGACTTGTACTTATAAGGCGAGTGGTATTTAATGTTATGGTTAAGAGGCATGTTGTTTTTCAAAACCACCAAAGCTTTATGGATGACCAACATCCACCAGCCCGTTGTTCCACTCAGGATAATTAATCGCGAGTGCAATTGTTTCCACTTACGTAGCCAAGGAAAAACCACTCATGCACTGGTGACTGTCACTTCATTGGGGCGCCGCAATGGCGAGATGTTAACTACCTCGCCTGGTATACAGGAGGTTGTGGGTTCGAACCTGACTCTGATGCCTGCTGTATATTTGGAGTTCGCGTGCCTCTCTCTCTTTCTCATCATCACGGTGGCTAGGAGATGTTAACTACCTCGCCTGGTATACAGGACGCTGTGGGTTCGATCCACGACCCTGATGCCTGCTGTATATTTGGAGTTCGCGTGTCTCTCTCTCTTTCTCATCATCACGGTGGCTAGGAGATGTTAACTACCTCGCCTGGTATACAGGAGGCTGTGGGTTCAATCCACGACCCTGATGCCTGCTGTATATTTGGAGTTCGCGTGTCTCTCTCTCTTTCTCATCATCACGGTGGCTAGGAGATGTTAACTACCTCGCCTGGTGTACAGGAGGTCGTGGGTTCGATCCACGACCCTGACGCCTGCTGCTGTATATTTGGAGTTCGCGTCTCTCTCTCTCTCCGCGTGGTCGCGTGGAGTTTTCTCCGGGTCCTCGGGTTTTCCCCTCCAAATTTAGAAGCAACATCACGCGTTTAGAGTATTTGGTTGCTATACATTTCCGGATCTGGAGAAGGGTGTAGGATGTAACAACCCGAGTCCAGGCAGCGGATCGGGACGTGTGTCGGCTGGGGTGCCCCCAGGTCGCTCCTACAAGTAGAAGGGAGGTTTTTCATTCGGTCTTTTACAAATCTTTTATTTTTTACGCGAGGCTTGAACGTCTGGCTTCTGTCCATGATAACCCCGAGATATATTGGAGGGGGTGGAGAGGGGGGTCATAGCGCACTGGGCTTCTGCTTTTCCTTCTTCTTCATTAGTCCGGCTGCTGCTGATGGACATGCAGAGCAACATCCACGATTTCACATCGAGGTGGTCAAGCCCAGCAGGCAACTGCTTCAGGAGCAGCGGAGCGTATCGCCGTGATGTCTCTTTCATATTCATGGAACGGGGCGTTGCGTCGTTATTCGTTGTACGATCTGTTCTGGATGACCATAGTCGCACGCTACTACTGGAAGAGTTCTTAATTTGCCATTTGTGCATCAAGTTGCCGTGGTTTCTGTAGTGGATGCGATTATAGGGTGGACCACGAGCTTCGTGGAAGATCAAATCCGCACTGGGCTACCAGAGAAGGACGCTTCAAGGGTGGCATCTTCTGCGTGATATTTAATCTGGAAAGCACTTCGTGGTGGTGGCTTTGGAGGGATTTGGTCGGGGTCTCCAGCGACAGAAATGTGCCTCTAGTAAACATTCGATCAGCTGTTATATTGTATGTGTGTGTGTTGAACTTCTTTCGCACCGTACACAACCAACCGCGCTAGTCGGAGAAATGTTTGTATGTATGTAGAGATGTTAACAACCTCGTGTCTCGTATACAGGAGTTCGTGGGGAAATTGTCAATTAACGGTCAATTAATTGTCAACGCGCTCAAGCTGTGCGCGCTGATGCAGCGAGGGCTACGTCATCCGCATATTGGAACGTGTGAGATGCTGTACATGGCGGGTATGAATGTCAAACAGATCGGGTGCCAGTGCCGAGCCTTGGCGGAGGACATTCTTCACGATTGCCCCTCGCGGCTGCGTTCACGAGCGAGGCGTTCGCTCTGGAAGTATACGCCTGCCGAGCATCGCGTCGAGCAGGTGGACAGTTGGAGCCGCATCCCATGATTTTTTTTATTTTTGGCGTAACTTCAAGCAGCGAGTCGCGACGCCTAACCGAGTCACGGGCGGCAGCGGTGGCGGCAGCAGCAGCAGCAACAGACAATCGTTGCTGCGCCAATTTTCTGTGCGCGCTGTAACCCACCTTTCACGGGGGTGTTGAAGTCAACGATTTGTTCGCAGCAGCAGCAGCTGCTACGATCATTTAGAATTCGAAATTCCTCGGGCTCGTTCAGGAGGCAGTTATGGAGGAGGGAGTATTTCGATTTAAAGCTTTCGTGACTGCAGGGATTCATCTTCTTGGTTCTTTCGGTAAAGTCACGTAGAAGAGAAGTAATAAAATAAAAAAAAAAAAAAAAATAAAAAATATTTTAAAATTTTTATTTGATTTTATTATGTTTTATTTTTATTATTTTATTACTTCCCTTCTACGTGACTTTACCGAAAGAACCAAGAAGAGGAGGGAGTAGTTGGGGGGGGGGGAGCAATAATGGGAGGGGAAGAAAGTCTGGCAGGCACAGCACGTTCGTGAGATCGAGCAGCGTTCTTCATCGCTAAGGCCCCGCGGGTCACTGGCGCCCTCTGCGTGACCTTTAGTGCGGCCCCTGGTGACCTTTAGTGCGGCCCCTGGTGGCCTTTAGTGTGGCCCTTGGTGGCCTTTAGTGTGGCCCCTGGTGGCCTTTAGTGTGGCCCTTGGTGGCCTTTAGTGAGGCCCCTGGTGACCTTTAGTGCGGCCCCTGGTGGCCTTTAGTGCGGCCCCCTGGTGGCCTTTAGTGAGGCCCCTGGTGGCCTTTAGTGCGGCCCTTGGTGGCCTTTAGTGTGGCCGCTGGTAGCCTTTAGTGCGGCCCCTGCGTGACCTTTAGTGTGGCCCCTGCGTGACCTTTAGTGCGGCCCCTGCGTGACCTTTAGTGCGGCCCATGGTGGCCTTTAGTGTGGCCCCTGCGTGACTTTTAGTGTGGCCCCTGGTGACCTTTAGTGCGGCCCCTGCGTGACCTTTAGTGCGGCCCCTGCGTGACCTTTAGTGCGGCCCCTGGTGACCTTTAGTGCGGCCCCAGACGCACGTGCGCGGCACCCCGACAACGAACAAAGAGTGAAAGAACTCCCCGTCGTCGTCACCATCGTGATCAGCGTGCTGCTGTCAAACCTCGCAATGGTTTCAAACGCGCGGCGGCCGTCGCACACACGCACACTGACGATGACTCGTCGGTGAAAGTTGCCTCCACGTGACATTTGGCGAAGAACCACCGAGCCAGGAGATGGGGGACGCGAGGTTTAGTGGGCCGGTCGCTGGGGGTGCCACCACGCAGTGCCGAATGAAGCTAGTGCGGGGCCTGTAGTATAAATGTTATAAAGGGGGCCCTAAAAACACGTAAATATAAAAACACACATTTTTAGCTTGCATAGTAAAGTTATTGTATTTTTTTCCATTTGCTATACAGCCAGATAATACGACAAATCGCTAATCTTAAACACCCAGTCGTTCGTAAAAGTTGAAGGCGGTATAGTACTATAGTAATAGAGCAAGTGCAGAATCACTGAAGCGGAATTGATAGCTTGAACGCATTTAGCGCGGGGCCCTTGAAAGTGCGGGGCCCGTAGCAGGTGTAGCTACTTGTGCTACGAGGATATAATCCGGCATTGCCACCAACCCACGTTAGCTTGAGAGAGAGATACATTTCTCCACTTCTCTCCGGAAGCTATTCAGTGTTCGGTGTCAACGGCGGCTCGAGTTCTTCGTGCTGAGCGTTGTCGCGCCTTGAGGCTCGTGGAGAGCGTCACGAAGTGTTTTATACTGGTAGGAACCTCCTGGTTACACCAGCCCACAGGGGATTATTGTGTCCGTCCGTCCGTCGTGCAGGGAGGGGCTGGGTGGGGAGGGAGGGGCTGGGTGGGGAGGGAGGGGTGGGGCTGGGTGGGGAGGGGCTGGTCACCCCGTGGTGCCCTTATAAAACTCAACGTGTAACCTACTCACGCCGGCTTGTGCCCGCTCTCACAGTCAAGTTCAAGTTCATTTATTAGGTATAGCCCTGTGAGCCATTCGGCTCTTGAATCGGGTGCAACCGTCGGGTATATTTACGGAATACACCACGCCGCCGTTGACCCTGGCCATTGACCGAGCAACCCAACGTTCCTACCAGCTCCCTCCGCAGGACAATGTGTTTATTTGTCGGGGCTCTTTGTTAACGCACGATACTCGAGAGCGAGGCTCACGGTGCACAGTGCCCCGGTGTTCGGGTCAGAGAGCCAGCCGACTCAAGTTGACTCTCGCCGCGACACCCGTGGTGTCGACGTGGTCGCTCGTTGCTATTTGAGGTCATTCGCCCAACGCGACTCGCGGAATCGAAGGCAAGCAATGCGGGGCACGAAGTCAGGAGACGCAATGACGTTGGTTACAACGTTTAGAATGTTTTTTTTTAATGGGGGGAGGTGTGTGTGTGGCGCGGGGGGGGGTCTGTGTGTGGGAGTGGATGGGGTCGCGGGGGGGTTATGGTGCGGGTGGGTGGGTGGGTGCGTGGGTGGGATGCTGGGTGGGTATTGTGGGTGTCAGCTTTGTCGGTTCCAACCTCCCCCCCCTCCACTCCCCCTCTCCACCCCCCTCTCCACCCCCCCCCCTCTCCACCCCCCTCTCCACCCCCCTCTCCACCCCCCCCCTCCACCCCCCTCTCCACCCCCCTCTCCACCCCCCCCTCTCCACACCCCTCTCCACCCCCCTCTCCACCCCCCTCTCCCCCCCCCCCTCTCCACCCCCCTCTCCACCCCCCTCTCCACCCCCCCCCTCTCCACCCCCCCTCTTCACCCCCCTCTCCACCCCCTCCCCTCTCCACCCCCCCCTCTCCACCCCCCCTCTCCACCCCCCTCTCCCCCCCCTCATCTCTATTCCCCCCTCTCCACCCCCCTCCCCCCCTCTCCACCCCCCTCTCCCCCCCCTCATCTCTATTCCCCCCTCTCCACCCCCCTCCCCCCCTCTCCACCCCCCTCTCCACCCCCCCCCCTCTCCACCCCTCGGCGTTCCAAACTGCGACCCCTCCCAGCGGCTCCCGCCGGAACCCCGCGGCCTCGGAGCTGCGCGCGCGTGACGGCGGCCGTCGTCCCGCTCGTTAGTGTCAATGGATCGAGAACGGTGGGGGAGCATATAAGGGGCGACACACCTCTGTTAGACACACACAGAGAGAGAGAGAGAGGGGAGTGAGAGACACAGAGAGAGTGGTGAGAGACACACAGAGAGTGGTGAGAGACACAGAGAGTGGTGAGAGACACACAGAGAGTGGTGAGAGACACAGAGAGAGTGGTGAGAGATACAGAGTGGTGATAGACACAGAGAGAGTGGTGAGAGATACAGAGTGGTGATAGACACAGAGAGTGGTGAGAGACACAGAGTGGTGAGAGACACAGAGAGAGTGGTGAGAGGCACAGAGAGAGAGTGAGAGACATAGGGGAGAGACAGGGGCGAGAGAGAGGTGACAGAGAGGAGTGAGAGACACAGAGAGAGAGAGAGGTGGGATAGAGGGAGGCGAGAGGCAGGAGTGACAGACACAGAGAGTGGTGAGACACAGAGAGTGGTGATAGACACAGAGAGAGAGAGAGTGGTGACAGACACAGAGAGAGAGAGAGAGTGGTGGGATAGAGGGAGGCGAGAGGCAGGAGCGAGAGATACCGAGAGAGTGGGAGACGTGGGGCAGATCAGGTGGTTTGTGGTGCTTCAAGACAATCAGCATCCCACTGTGTCACTGCGCTTCGTGGCTGCGTTGGGGTAAGTTATCTAGACCGCCTTCGTTCGTGTGCCTGTTGTTGTGTGTCGACTGTTGTGCCGACTGTTATGTCTGTTGTTGTGTCTGCTGTTGTGTTTAGTGTTGTGTACTGCAGGAGAGTGGGTTCGTGCGAGGTAACACAAGTAGACGTTTGTGCCACGGTATTCATCGTAACTGATATTCAAAAGCTGATGTGTTTTCTCGTAACGCGCAATGCTCAGTGGTTATCGTAACAGCCATTGACGACATAAATCCGAAGTCGATGTAGCGAGCGGTGGCGCAGTGGTTAGCTCACCGAGCCGTTTAACCCCCGGCGATTTGAGTTCAGTGTCACGGCTAACATCAGCGGCGAAGGATATCTGTACCCGGGTCCTGTGTTCCAGCTCCTCACCCACAGCGCGCAGGGTGCACACGTGCGTGTGTGTGTGTATACAGGGCACGGTGTAACATCGCGCGCACGTGGAATACGTCTCATACAAGCACGTTGTGTCAGAATGGTGACTGACGGCTGTGGTTAAGGCAAATTGAGCGCGGTGGGAGATGGAGCAATGAAACGTTATAGCCTCTCGCTAGAGACAAAGGTGACCCGTACAGCCTTGCTGGGACAAGTGCCGTTCGCGAGCAGCACTTATGAAGGCCGGCGCGGTAACACGTGGGGGTGTGGGGTGATCAACACCACGCCCGGCCGCCTTTGTCTTCACAGCGACGATGTTTGGCACGCCGCAACCAGGTACTACTAATTCGAGGCTGAGTCGACCTAGGGGAGACCCAGGAGCGGTTCAGGTGTTTGGCCGTGAGCGGGAATCGAACTCGGGTGGCCGGGTCCGGTGCGCAGCGCGCTAACAGCTCCGCTCCCCGCACACACGCGCACAAAGACAAAGATCACCCGTATAGCCTTAACAGATTGTTGGGGCAAGTGCTATTAGCAAGTAGCACCTGTGAAAGCCGGCACGGCACACGAGCGGGTGGTTTGGCCAGCACCACCCCCGGACGCCTTTGTCTTCCCAGTGGCGATGTTTTACACACCGCACCAGGTACTCATTTGAGGCTGAGTCGACCTAGGGTAGGCCCATGAACGGTTCAGATAATCGTCACCGGTGTTGGCCGTGAGCGGGAATTGAACTCGGGTGGCCGGGTGGCTCGTGGCGCAACGGTCAGCGGTGCTGACCGCTACCACACACACACACTGACACACACACTGACACACATTGACACACACTGACACACACACACTTTGCACACACACACACAGACGCTACCACACACACACAGACGCTGCACACACACACACTGACACACACACGCTGACACACGCACACTGACACACACACACGCTGCACACACACACACTGAAACATACACACGCTGCACACACACACTAACACATACGCTGCACACACACACGCTGACACACACACACTGACACACACACACTGACACACACACGCTACACACACACACGCTGACACACGCACACTGACACACACACACGCTGGACACACACACACTGACACACACACACACAGACGCTGCACACACACACCAACTGACACACACACACACTGACACACACACACGCTGGACACACACACACTGACACACAGCTCGTGCGTGTCAAGAGCGTGTGTTCAGCAGCTGCGTTGTACAACGCAGTGGGGCAGTATCAGCATCGAGTGCCCGTACAAAGTGCCCGTCATAAAACTACGCTCCGCCCACCACCCCCACGCACCCCCCCCCCCTCTCCGACTTGTGCTGCTGCCCCCCCCCCAACTCTCACGTGGGTGCCCCCCCCGTGGACACCCCCCCCCCCGCCGCTACCAACCCGCGCACTCCCTCCCGACCCAGGCGGTCACGACCCGCGGGCTCGGTCGTCCGATCCTCTGAAGACAGGGAGAGAGGCTTAGGGGCCGTCCATAAATGACGTCACGCGATTTTTGACAATTTTTGACCCCTCCCTCCCTCGTCACACGGCGTCACAAAAAGTCAGACCCCCCCTCAAATATGACGTCACAAAGCTCTGCCCCCCCCCAAAAAAAATATATAAAACATGCTTCAAATCGCTTTAAACTATTGTCATTGTAGTGCGTATTTAATGTGGCGCTGCACTCTGGTGTTGTAGGATAAAACATTTATTAAAAAGTCTATTTCATTAAGCAGAACGTGTTGTCTATATTTATTTAAAGTTGCGAACTTTGATGTGACGTCACATTTCTCAAACCCCCCCCCCCCCCTCGTCACACATCGTCACAAATGTCTGAACCCCCCCCCCCCAAGTGCGTGACGTCATTTATGGACGGGCTCCTTAGAGGCCCGTCCCTAAGGGTTACACGGCGAGTCGGGGAGACCGGCCCGGGCCCCGCGCTTCGGTGGGAAGGGGTCGGGGTGGCCTACACGGTGGTGTTTGCCCCCAGGGCCCGCAGACCCCCCCCCCACCCCCCCCCCCCCATGGGATGGCCCTGTGTGGCGCAGTGGTTAGCGCACCAACCTTTTTACAAGGAGTCATATTTGCATAGACCACAATACCTGCAGTCATAATGTAAACAAAAAACACTAAGGAAAGCTGTCCCGGGTGTGGACCAATCAACTTCAAGAACAGTGCATACATTATCAGAGTTATGTTTTTTGTTTGCATTATGACTGCAGGTATTGTGATCAATGCAAACATGACTCCTTGTAAAAAAAAGGTGTCAGTTTTGTTGCCAGATGGAAGGGTAAAAAACAATTATTTATTTTACTGGCAAATGAGGTTCCAATGGTGTAAATGCTTACCCGAGCTCTCATACTTTGATGGTGCATTGTCTTTGAGTTGTGCGCCTTTTGGCGTCATCTGGTCCAACCCATGTGAGACTAGGCTCTAAGGAAAGCTGTCTCGGGTGTGGACCAATCAACTTCAAGGATAATGCATACGTTATCATAGTTATATTTTTTGTTTACATTATGACTGCAGGTATTGTGGTCTATGCAAACATGACTCCTTGTAAAAAAGGTGTCAGTTTGGTTGCCAGATAGAAGGGTAAAAAAAACAATTATCATTCGTCGTCGTGTTATATCTCTCGCAAAAAGAAACGCGCCGTTAAAGGAGAACGAGACTGCACTCTCTACCCCGCGCGGATAGTGGAGGCGGAAGTTATTTGACCATTCTTCAGTAAGCTGGTCTTCGTATTTGCGTTATTACTTTTCAATTGCAGTCTCAGTCGCGGCCGTCCCATCGTTATTACAGTGCCTTTGGAAATACTTCTCGTGGTGTGCTGGTTTTTTTTATTCAAGCCACGGAACGAGTGAGTCAATTTCCGCCGCCTCAAATTGCTTTTCATCGTCGACAAAGATCCGGCAAAAAGTGGCACTTTATATTCATTAGACTTAATGGAGTCCGATCCGGAGATGCCGGAGGGAATTTACAAAAAAAAATAGCTCTTATCGTGTTTGTATTGTTATCCCGTTGAAGTGAGCAGTGAGACATTGATTTAAATCCATCTTGCACGGTTATTTGACTTCAAAATTGTACATTATTCAATTCAGTTATCCATGATGTTGGGGGGGGGGGAGAGACCAATTTACATATTTATATAAAACCGTCTATGTATGTATGTTGAACTTCTTTCGCACCGTACGTAGCCAACCGTGCTAATCGGATATGTGTTTGTGTGTATGCAGAGATGATAACTACCTCGTCTGGTATACAAGAGGTCGTGGGTTCGAGCCCGACACTGACGCCTGCTGTATATTCGGAGTTTGCGTGTCTCTCTCTCTCATCATCATCACGGTGGCTAGGAGATGTTAACTACCTCGCCTGGTCTACAGGAGGTCGTGGGTTCGATCTCGACCCCTGACGCCTGCTGCTGCTGTATATTCGGAGTTTGCGTGTCTCTCTCTCTCATCATCATCACGGTGGCTAGGAGATGTTAACTACCTCGCCTGGTATACAGGAGGTCGTGGGTTTGATCTCGACTCCTGACGCCTGCTGCTGCTGTATATTGGGAGTTTGCGGTGTCTCTCTCGTGACCAGGGGCCACTACCGGTCCCTTCTAGCGACGGATGCTGCCCCTCGCTTGAAATTTGTTTTTAAACTTAGTGGTAAACGTGCACCCTGAAATATAAGCAAGTGTAAATAGTTGAATATCGTTTACAGTCGTGAGTTAAAGTTAGCCCGGGGTGCAGCAACGGGAAAAAAACTTTGGGCCCTCATTTTTCATTCTGACAGCGGCTCTGAGCAACACAAATACAGAAGTGACGATGATGATGATGAACCCCCCAGTAAGTCGACACCATTTCATAGTTTCGCCTCTCAAGGCAAGTAAGCTGATTAACTCGTGGGTGTAGGTGCAACCCTGCAATTACTTCGAGTCGCCACCGCTGCCAGAAGGGGTGTCCACTCGATCGAGCTCTCAAGTGCCCCTCTAAGAGGGTATTTGGCCTACTCTTCCACGCAGGCCAGACGTCTTGGAAGAGCCGTGAGTTACCCACACTTGACCCCCCCACACCGCACACGACCTGCCGATAAACCAGCCACAGCGCACCCCTAATTTATACTTCGAGGCAGCCAGAGGCCGCGGGGAGATGTTTGCAAATGACTCGAATGTAATTCGTTTTTCAAATGATCGAGTCAGACCCTCGGCTGCTCCACGATGTGTTAATCGCTCTTTTGCCACGCGTCGTTCCACAACGCTCACCGCTGTCGTTCGACTCGTACGCCACTCGGCTGAGAGTTTCGCTGTTGATGGGGGAAAACATTCGCCTCGTTCAGCGCGCGTCGGTGTCTCCTTACCAAATGTCCAAAAACGCCCGTGAAATGCGTTTGGCTTATTCACGGCGGCAGAGGCTGAGCGGCTCACACTCGGACGGTTGCGAGTTTCCCATCATCACTCGGCGGTCGATAAAACGAGTACCAATTTTGGTTTAGTTTTTTTACGGGAAAATCGACAGCATTTCTAACGGACAAACTTGCCCCGCGCCATATGAATGAGGAATGTCCACCGTCGATTGGGGCGGTAAGCGAGAGATG